AATAGGAATGGAACTGAGCAGTCCCTTTTACGATTTTCAAACAAAAATCATTGTCAGTGCCTTACTTGTTGGAAGTCATTTAGTGAAAGGCAAATAAATTCTGCATATGTGTGTGTGTGTGTGGTTCCTGAAAACCTTACCTCCTGGTGTCTAATCTCTTTTTTGAGCATACCAGAAGAGTAGTGTGTTTCTTGCACACTACTTTCTTTCTACTTGGATTACAAGTAGGAACTTGTGTCAGCACTTGAGAGCTCTACACTCTTCCAATGCACTTGCCTTTCTTCCAGGTACAGAGTCAGGCAGCCAAACCATAAAAGAGACTGCAAATGAAGAACGAGTGATTGAACTTAGAGGGAGAACACACACAGCAGTGGAAGCAGCAGAATCGTGGCTGCGGAGTGTGGTACAAATTCAGGAAGGTCGCCATGCTGTTATTAAAAACAACTACATTTTTTGCCTTGGTAAAAAGGAGTTTGCAGAACTCTTTCGAGAGCAGCCTTCTAGTGTATGTGTGTCAGAAGAAGTGAGAGGTGGAAAAGCAACACTGGAATTTCAAGGCCCTCCTGATGCTGTGGTTGATGCAGTGCTCACAACTGAGAATTTACTGCTTCGTATGCAAGAGAAGACTATAGCTGAACAAAAGAAACTGCTCTACTCAATGTGTATGTAAATAGTGACTAATTAAGTAAATAAGTGCCTAAATAAGGTCAAGTATGAAGCAATGTATACGTTGGTACTGCTGAGAGTGGACAGACGTGTATTCAGTTTACACACACATACTGAATATTGCTTTAATTACTGATGTTCCTGTACTTTTAACACGTGAGCCCGTGGAGGACCGTTGGTTAGCTGTGGCCACGCACTTGGCACTACTCCCAGTAGGGCACAGTTTATACAGGGGTTGGCTGTGATGTACAACCAGCTGTAGTGGGGCTCCCTCCAGGACACCTTCACTTTAAAGCCTGGCCACTGGAGACTTACAAAATCTGTGCTTAATTAACCTTTGCTGAGCTCTTTTGCTGGCTACAGCTGGACTACTGTTGCAGGACTCAGCAGTGGACTTGTTCTGCAGCATCCCTGGCTTTCATGATCAGTCGATACCACTAGTGGCATTACAAAAAGCTACTGAGTGGCTGATTTTAATTCATTCGTGTAGCCATTCAATATAGATACCTATATATGAAGGTTGGGCTGTGGAGAAGGGTAATGGAAAATATAAATTGCTTTTTTTTGGTTCCCTCTCTCCAGTTTCTTTATAATAAATGTAGAAAAATAGAATACATTTATATATATATGTCTCATTGTTAGCCTCTGACATTACTTCAGAGAATACTTAACATTCTTTGTTCTTAGCTACCAACTAAAGTATTAGATCTCCCCCCCTTCCCTTTGCTTCAGACATTATGATATATGAAAATTTTACTCCCTTATTCATATCCAGGCCAACCAGAAGCAGGTCAACTTTCAGAAGAAGACCTTCACAAGACAAATACTAATAATTACATCCAGATTTTACCAGTAGAGTCACACCTCCAGGAGTTTAAAGACAGACAGAAACAGTTTGAAAAAGCTGGACTTCATGTTCTCAAGGTAAAGAGGGCGAAACTGGATCTCAGCTCGTATTTTTGAACTAACATGTTTAATGTATGCCTAAAAGACTCAGATAAACTATTTCAATATATTGCTTTTAAAAATTAAGATCAAGTCAGCCTAAGTCTTAAAACAGATGCAGTCTTTACTCCCAATAAAAAGTATTTTAAACATAATGCAAATAATCACTCAGAAAGCGATGAAATTCTGAGTAGTCTTTTTAATTGTACTGTATACTCTTCCTGATATTTTGTGCTTTGAATGCTCCTTTATAGGACTAGACAAATATGAGATTGGTATGGTAGATGGAGTACAATATTCCAGGATACTAATGCACTGTCCCTGTTTTCTTTTTGTGAGCTTGACACCAACAATTAGCAACTGAATTTGCCAGAGTTCTGATCTGATTATGTGTTGAAGCTGGGATCTTGCTTGGGTATCAGTGTTTCGTTGAACAGCAGGTGGATGAGGTTGTGCAAGGCAGAGAAATACAGAAGTTTGTAAACTTTGTGCCTGGTAGTAACTGGGCAACTGGAAACCTCACTGCCGTGGGCTCAACTGCCTTTCCTAAGAGAAAGATATTAACATTGAAATGAGAGTAAATACCCACCAAATGCTTCTTGATCTGCAGAACTAAAGACTTTGCTCAGTCTCAACACAGAAGTTACAACAGAATTTAAAACTGGAGACTGGTTGTAGCTCAGTTAAATGAGTTAAGAGAGCAGAAGTACTACAGCCCCTGCTTGTTTCTAGCTCAGCAGTCTGGCACGAGAGGGCTCTGGAGAAGAGCCTTGCAGGCCCCTGGCATGGGGCTGTGGCTGCCCACTGGTGGAGCCAGTTTGCCTGAGGTTCTGTGTGATTATTTATACTGCTGGGCACTGGGGACACAAGGGACAGACCCTCTTCTCTTGTGCCCCCTTTTTCCCTGACAGCTGTAAAGTTTTGATCAATGGGAGTTGAGGTTCTCCACGCCTTTCTGGACACTTGCAGTTCTTCACAAGACTAGGCTGTAACACCCACACGGCTTATTCTCACGTATGAGATACTCCGTCTGTTCAGTACAACTCAAGTACTGGAAATCAGTTCAAGAGAAATATTCCTACTGATTTCAATGAGAGGCATGGGATAGTGGTATGGTTCTTTTTCCTTGGATCAGTTGCACACTTCAGATACTTTATCTGCTATGCGGTCGATGCATATAAACTACACCAAAGGTTCTTGCATTGAAGAACATAGCATGGATATTGGTCTCTGTTTGCTTATACTACACTATTATTTATTTATGTTACAGATTGAAAAGATACATAATCCTCTTCTATCTGCTGCATTCCAACAAATGAAAAAAAGAATAGAAGAAAGACAAGGTACCTCCAAAATAACCCACAAGTTGTACCAGCATGTTCCTGCTGAGTTCTGTAGTTCAGTTTGCCAGACTGGATTTCACAGGATGTATTCTCCACCAACAGGTAAGAACTTGCTTTGGCATCTTTAATCAAAATGAACAGTGACTGACTACTAAATTCGGGTCAAAATCAGAAAAAAATGTCATTCCTAAACAATAACTGTTTTTCACGTGCATTTAGATTCGTACGAGCTTACTTTATTATCTACAGTAAGGTTTTCCTCCCTGATACTGTAGAGTCAGTAAGGCTCTGGGACGACAAGCCTGGATTCAAGCCTAGCCCAAATACTACTGACAGAATTGTTACTATACACAAAATTCCATCTCCAAGTTTTATTTTGTTGCATCACTCTTTAAAGAGGTCCTTATTTACCTGCTGCAAACATGCACTCAGCAGCTTGGTGCTTAAACATGTTGAAAGGCATCACAGAATATTGAGGCTGGAAGGTACTTGAGAAGGCCATCTAGCCCAGCCCCCTGCTCAGATCAGGTGTGGTCAGAGACAGCACATATTCTGACTGCTCAGCTGCCATTCGGACGGGAGCATGCTCGGAACAAATTGCGGGCTCTACACAATATTGTAGTAGACAGATGTTTTCAGAAAGGGAAAGAATAAGCTTTTAGTGCTTCATCCTGCAATAGGTGAAGGGTGTGATATTTTGCTGGTCGATTGCAGAATTGGGATTTCAGGCAATAAACTGTTCAAAAGTTTGCCTTTCTTTGTCTATGCAATGTACGTGGCACATTTCCACACTTTAAGAGCAGTAAATAGGATGATGGTCTAATTTCCTTGTACTTTTCCACATGATACTGTAACAGCAGTTTTATGTGACATTCTTCTTATAAGTATCAAAGCTTTTTTTGGTCAATTGCATTATTAAAATCTTGCTGCCTTTGGTGCTTATCAGAGTCCCTTGTACGTGATGCCTGAAGTGTCAGTCATATATTTATATAAATACTTTAGACCTTGATGTTTCAATCACTGTATTAACAGTTACATCTGAATGGTTATCACTGGAGTAGCAGTTAATCAAATGTCCTTCCAAAAAGATGGCACATATTGAGCAGTAACATCATGTGTAATCCTGAATCAAGCAGCAGCCTCTTGGGACTACCACCCCAAAAGAAGCAATTGTTGAACACTTTGTCGTCTTCTTCTGAAAATTTTTCTTTCTTTTTCCAGAACAAAATTATGGACCTGGCATCTACTTCAAAAGGAACCTGAGAAACCTAATCGAGGATAAAGCTATGGGGGAAATGGACTCTAAAATGTATGTGTTTGAGGCTGATGTATTAACAGGCTTATACACTAAAGGCCAGTCATCTAATATTATTATGCCACTCGCTGTGGAGAGAGATGCCTTTACATTATATGACAGTTTGGTAAATGATATGGACAATCCTGACACCTTTGTCATTTACAACAGCGTAGGGGCCCTTCCACAATATTTGCTGACTTGTTCCCCAGTGACTGAGCATTATGCATGAGCATTCTCTGAGGAAACCAGCAGCATCCTGAGTGAGAATTAATCAGAACTGTAGCTATTGTGAAGATCCCCTCAGAACAGTCTAGTGCTTAGATTTGAGAGGTTGCTCTACTTAGTAACATGCTGTGGTCAAAGTGCCTCATGCAAAATACTCTGAAATATCCATGAACAAAACAGTAAGGCAATGCCTTAAGGAGATTAGAAGAAAATTATGTGAGTGGAAACAGAAGGGAGAGCATCCCAAAATAAGAGTTTAACATTTACATGGTCATTAACTTTTTACCTTACAGTGTTCTGAGCAGGGGACTATACACATGTTTGCATAGGCTGTCATTTTTCCATTGCATTTTCTTAATCTGAGATATTGCATATGTCAGTGAAACAAAAAGTCTTGGTTGTGTCTTTGATTCTTAAATTTTCTTTTGACTTAAATAGGTGAATGTAGCAGACAAAAGCTGTTTCCCAGTGAGAGACATGCTGTTAAATACATGCAATTATGACAAACATGAGGCAAAACTTCATGATTTCTAACAGGAGTTGCTGTTGCAGGTTTTATTAGTTATTTCAAGCATTGTAGATACATGTATTCAAAATAAAAAGTATGAATGTCACTGTCAGTTAACTTGTAATTTTTATATAATCTTAAGAATGTGATTTGGACTGTATTTGAGCTTTAGATTTCTCAGCAACATTTAATCTCTTTGAAAGGCTACAAGATAGTAAAGAACTGGTTCAAACTACAGCTTGAAATTGATCTTCAATTAATTTACCTTTACCAATATCTTTTAAAGATTACATTGACAGCCTTGTAGCCAGGTATGCCCACATTGCTTCTGCAGTGACCTGAAGCCAGCACATGAAAAAGCCAAGAGCCACTATAGGAATTCGACTATCAAAGGGGATTCAGTCCTGTGCTCAGGTACTTGGAAACTTTCTGTACTGAAGCCTAAAACTTTGCCTGATGTTTACAGCATTTGAAATGCTATTGCCCCAAACAAAAAGCTACTACAAGATTTGTCCAAACAGAAGCATTTAAAATCACCAGTTCTGGGCCTAAAACACCTAAACAGCTTAAAACAATGCTGTAATACAGGAATAAAGGCTCCTCTTTAGTACCTCACCTGTCAGTATCAGGTCAGCCTCTCACCTGAAGTCAGCTATGGTTAAAACTGTCATTACCTGGGGAAGAGAAGGGCTCACATAAAACCTTTAAAAAACAACTGTGTTGTCATATGAGAAGCATTTCACCCACAGGTGAAGCACTGTGCATCTCTAAAACACAGATGAAAGTAGCATTTTATAAAACTTTTCAAAATAATTTGTTAATGAATTCCCAGGATACTTGTACTGCACCTGCAACTCCTAAGCTAGTAGTCATAGTGCTAGGAACTACCCACAAGTCCAGAAGAAATTAAGTTATAAAAGTCTAATTCTGAACTCTGAGATTGCAAGTGGAAATTTTTTTAACCATTACAAAAGAAACTTTTAAATTAATATATTCATATTTCGTTTGGGTTTTTTTTATTATTATTTTAAACATTAGTTATACCTATTTTTGCAAAAGGTAGTTTTGTAGTGTGTGAGCCCCTAACATACGTGAGTTTTGTTCTCAGGAAATCCCAAGGTTGCTCTTAGAGTCTATTCCTATTTTAACTATTCCATGTAAGCAACAAATTCTTTTCTACTTCTGTTCCCTTTTTCCTCATGTTTCTCAATTCACACATTACTGCCATGGAAACACAGAGCTGTAGATTTAAGGTTAGACAGCACTGAACAAGCATAAGCTCTTATTTCAGTTTGCTTCAAGAGATTTCATTTTTTAAAGCAATTTCATGGCAGGAACTCTTCTTTTTCTATTTGCTTTTTTGAAAAACTCAGTACCGAGTTTCTGAACTACTGCAAAAATTTCTAACCAGCATCAGTTTTCAGAAAACCTAAAGGATTTTTTTGGCACAATGTAACATCTTGCTCCTACTCAGAATAAAAAATCAGTTTTCATAACTCAGTATTACTTTAATACTGTTACACAAGTATTGGTAACAATGTATTTCATTAATAACCTTTTTATTAACTTTTTAACTCTTAACTGCACCTGAAAAGGTTTGTAGTCAGTTTAACAGAAAAAAATAATTATTGAGAAAGCTTTAACAGCTTATTCCAATGCCCAGCACATGCTTTCTCCTCCCTCCACATACACTTGCAGTTTATAAGGATTCAGTGTAACTGAATATTTATCTTCCATTTTATTATAATGAGATTTTTTCCTGGTGTATAATTGCTACTGAAGTTCACCAGTGTTCTCCACACATAGTGATATAATATACATTCTATATACATAGTTTTTTAAAAACTGCTAATGTAAGAGGTTGTACATAGTTATTTTCATCTGGTCCTCAAAAAGATTAATTTCATATACAGAAACTAGAAAATAAACCCAGCACAAACTAGATGTACCAAGTAGTACATAGTAAAATAATTACCACAGTAATTGAAAATTCCTGATCTTGGTTCTACAATAATCAGTTAACTAGAGGCTACTCCACAGCCTCTGGGATTTCTCTGTTGTTCACAATAAGGGTATGAATAATTCCCTCCTTTCGTTTCCCGCTACTGACAGCCTTAATGCAACAGCTGTGATCAGCAACAGTGAAGTGAGTTTCAGTCCCATCTTCGACAAATTCACCCTGGGAGGAAGGAGACAAGAGTAAAAACAGACACGTAATATTTTAGCAAATGAAAAAGCATCAGTGTCAAGATCACTTATAGTTCCCACATTACAGCAGCCACAGGTACCTGCAACAAATACAGCCCAAAAACTGAACAAAGCTCCAGAATCTCAGGCAGGGCTTTGTCAACGTGCCCAGTTAAAGATCTGTGGGCATCAGATCACAATCAAAATTTCACATATTCAAAATGGTAAAGTTGGAGTTTGTGGGTTAATATTACTCATCCATGCTAGTAAACAAAAACAGAAAAAGCATCTTCCTGCCCAGTTGTGCCGTACAGCCAGTAAGTGCCACACAAACTTATGCTGAAGTGGCAGTAAAAGGTGAAGTATTTAGGATGCCTTCTACAGCAGGATGCAGAAAGAGATCCCTGAATTGAGTACCAGTTGTGTATTTTGGATTGTGTATTCTTGGCTCCTGCTGCAGTTAGGTAATTTCCTATTACGGATTTTGCCAGGCATGGCTGTGTCGTCTCTGGGAGAGCAGAACAATCCGTGTGCCACTGTAATGGAAGCAGTGAGATTGACAACTAAACCTGCACATGCAGCTTGCAAGAATATCTCCTAGAGCATTTATTACAATATGGAAAAGGCTGAGAGCCATCAGGAGGAGAAATTTTGATTTACTGGAGAAGGAGTTTCTTCCACTGATTTCTACAGAAACGGAGCTCTGACCAACCCGGTCTAGTGAAAAGTGTCCCTGTGACGGCAGGGAGGTTATAACGGGATGATCTTTAGGGTTCCCTCCAACCCAGGCTGTTCCATGATTTGGTGAATCTTCATCCTCCTCTCAGGTATACCAAAACTGTTGTTTTTACAATTTGTACTCATCCAGGGGCTTTCTTGTGGCAGTAGTAACCACTTTGACACATCCTTCAAGGAGGGGGAAGCCTCCCTAGTATGTGTATTGACAGCCATCATAATACAAAAAGACACCAAACAGATTAAGCCTTCTACCTGCCAGCCTGCTCTAAAAATTAATGCACGTGTGACACAAAGACAGAAGCTTATTTTGCTAAGCTTTGGTTATGTAACCGTAGGCTGGGAAGAGCCTTTGGAAGGGATCACGTACCGCTGTTTCCATTTTTTGACCATTGCACCACACATCCATAGTGTCCTTTTCTGTGAAGGAAAAGGAAAACAGAAAGGTATTTTTTTCGCCCCTACAGACAAAGATCTAGGAATTTTAAAAATCTACTGTTGAAATTTACTTTGAATTCCCAAAAGAAGTTCCTAATTAGCCGTAGTACCTGAGCTACAGGGTTTGCTCTCATAGCAGAGATGGGGAGGCTCTCAACAATGAGGAAACAACTTTTGCTTTGAACATACATTTTTACCTCTCTCTAGCCCTGACACTGGGTTGACACTGGGCTATTGACACTGGGTTGTTCAGAATATTGCCAGAAATATTCTGACAGTAATTAATTAAACTGAAAAACTTGAAGACAGAAAAATGAAGTAATTTCTGCTAATTCTTTGAGTGCCATTTTTTCAGTGAAGCTCTAACATTCTTTCTAGGTTGGTTTAATTCAGAAGCAGCATTATTTAACATCCATCAAACTGTTTGTATTCTTAAAATCTTCTCGAAAGCCTAAGTACTTTAAATATCAGTCTTAGATTTTTTTCCATTTGAAACAGAATATTCTTTTACTTCTCCCAGCATATCCTTCTTAAATTATTTTGCTCTAGAATTCACATTACAGACACTGTCATCCACAGGTCATCAGCAGAGAGCTGAGCCCTGCTTGCCTTTCCAGTAAGCACAGGGAGATTAAAATCCTGTGAGGAGATATATCTGTTTCTGGCATAAAAACTGTTTTTCTTCATTGCCCCCCTTCATCTTAGGGCAGTTCGTTCTGTCCTGAGGCTTTATAAAAATCATAGCCCAAGATCTCTTGTTTCCAGATCTAACTATACAGGAATACCTAAGCGGAAGTTTTCCCACTAGATGCCATGGACAAATTCCTCAGAGGGTCCCTTCCTCCTGGCTGCTTGTAATGTATCTAAGAAAGGGGGGCAGAAGAGATGTATTGCCTGCTTATTAAAATAGTGAAAGAATATGATCTGAAGTTTTTAGATTAAATTTGTAGTTAAGAAGTGATGCAGAAAAAAGGATGCTCATTAATCTATCAAAAATGTAGAAATTGTCACACTTCCTCAGATAGAGACTCCTTGACTTTGGCTGATGATTTTTGGAGGGAAGGCCTGGGTACCTGCTGAACAAACATCAGGTTTGATCACAACACAGATAACACTTCTATAACAGGCTTCACCTGCAGAACTGTCCTGTTAGAGCAGCTCTATGAATGCAGCAGCCATAATGCCTCCCAACCTCTTTTTTTTTCTTTTTTTTCTTTTGTTTTTAAATCTAGACCACGTTGCTGTTTTTCAGATTGTCTTTGGCATCTCATTCCAAACTTCCAAACCACCCAAGCTTTTATACTGCACCAGTGCTACCCACTGAACTGCACTTTCTCTTAGTTACCAGTTATTAAAGGCACACAAGCTTTTTCAAAGGCAGTAACACGGAGTCATTCAATGTTTACTTACCTAGAACAACTCTATAGTCTGTACCATCCAAGTTCAATATCCAAGTATTGGTTGTTTTTAACCTGTTCTCCATATGTTTCTTCAGACTCTTTCCATTGATCTCCAAAGTATACTCATATGCAAAGCCACTGACTGCATCTATGTTAATAGCAGCTTTTGTTTTAGTAGCTCCAACAGTGAATGTTTCTTTACCCACTAATTTAAACATCCATTCTCTTCTTATTTCTTCCTGTAGAATAAGACAAAGACAGTGGGTATTAACTGAGAAATCTGAGTGCATGTTTTAATATGAAAAAAATTGAACTGGAACTCAGGAGACAGCTCAGTACTGAACTGTTATTTGGGAATGAATGCATACACGGTGGTTTGTATGCACAGAGTGCTTCTGCCCAAAGACAGCAAAGCACTTCATGAATACTCACACCTTAACTGGAACTGAAAAAAAGAATGATGTAGTTCAATAAGTCAGGTAAAGTTAATCAACTGAATGTACCTCGCTTGCATTTATTAGTCTTTTGTTTGCTCTGATGCATGTTGCATGGAAGTGCACTTATATAATCTGTATCACAGTGAATTTTGAGCACATAGCAATTTCACCTTTCCATCAACATAGACAACACGTTTTCCTGAAGTGGTCCCATGTTCAAATTCAATCTTATGAACACCATCACTTAAAGCTACTTCCCAAACAGCCACCAAATCTGTCATCTTCTCTAAGTGGCTGTACCGAGACCTAAGGAAAAACCAACAAAGTAAATTAATTGTCGTTGAAAGTTCAGTTCCTGATGTGTGCAGTTCAAAGCTTTACTGCTTCAGGGCAAGTTGTTTTTTGCAAATGAAAAATGAGACTTGAAAGAATAAGCTTACAGAACTGCTTATATTTTCATGTTTTTTTCAAACACTCAAATATGACAAAATATCACAAAATATAACCCGACAGTTACACAGACTCACTTAGACGAACACGGTACAAAGACACAGATACCCATCTAACCTCTAAAAACCTCTAGAACTCCCATTTCAGGTGACAGTAGGTTACAAAATACACTTAGTATTCAGATGCTCCTGGACAGTTCTGCTATTTCCTGGTAGGCATTAAAATACAGTATTTGATTAGTCTCAAAGAAAGTGTTTCAGCCTTTTGGACTTGAAAAATAGTCAGGATGGCCAGTTTAGCTATTTGCTGTTTTAACAGATTTGTCTGTAATCTCATAAACACTACCTACATCATTCAGAAATGCACACACAAACACACAGGGGAAGAGATCTGGCAAGATATCCTTTTATTTAAGTAATTTTTAAAGTTTAGATACAATCATAAGTGACCACTGGAACTGTGGATATCTTTCCAAATCTGCTCATACCACAGTCCTGATTTTTTACCTTACTTCATCTTCACAGACAGTAATCTCCTCACCGGATGCCATAGTAACCCAAACAGCTTTTAATCCAATTAGCAGCAAGAAAAAATAGAAAAGCAGAATAGCAGCAGAGAAGTGCTGAGGTCTAAGTTTTCCTGGTTTTCTCCAGTTAAGATAAAGGACATTTTTAAAAGCGTTATTAACTACATGCAGTGCTAGCTGTAGTATATATGATGAAACAAAAACATTTAAAATAAAACCATCTTTCCTCTTAAACAGAAAGGCAAATGTATATTGAAAAAATATAATATTTTGCAAAATTAGTAAATGCAGTTTATCCTAACTTTATTAGCTCATCATAACTTTGTTGGTTATTTGATGGAAAAACAGGCTGCCCAACTTGTGACCGAAAGCTTAGAAACTAAAAACTTGACCAAAGCAGGAACCCAGTTAGAGTTGCCCATCTCTGTCCCAGACCGTAATGACCTCAGGACTGTGAAATAGCACAGCCAACAATTTCACCCACTCGCTTTCCTAAACCACTGTAGCAGTTTACAGCAATCACATGAGCAAATCTGACCTGGCAATTCAGTCACAAAATCTATGTGAACCGCAAATAACTCGTTTCTTACTTAAGAGTAATAGACCATGATGGTGTTTTACAACCACTGACTGATTTTTAATGTATTATTTTCACTAATTTGCTAAGGGCTGTCTGCCTTGCCTGTGCATATCAATAAGTGTAACTTAAATGTAAACAAATAGTAACACGTGCTAATAAATGCCCAGGAGACTGTTTTGGCTGTTCCTGAAGTTACTGGTGGCTGTGAAGGCTGGCATCCCCTGGCACACGGTGGGAGTCAGGCGGGATGTATTTCCCTCTCCTCAAAGGAGCGGGCGCGGGGGCTCGGGATAGACCCGCGCTTGTCCCAGGCATTGGATCAGCACAAGGAGCGGCCTCGGGCACAAAAGGAAATGCCAGGAGAGGTGGCAGCTGGAGAGTGTCCCCAGGCCACCCTTCACCATCCCCGGCAGGACGCAATCCTGCGGCGTGGATCTTGGAGATCATTTAGGATCGGTGCTGAAAGGGTTAGGAAGCATCCCAGAACACACAAATTCCTTTTTTTTTTTTTTTTTTTTTTTTTAGCAAATCATGGTAATGAGGTTATAGACTTCTATTTTAAACCGAAGCTGAACCCAGACTCTAGGTCAGCCGTGTGTTTCCTGAAGGCCAGCCGGTACCACCCGAGTCCCAAGGGAAAGCCCGGAGGGACCAGGCGCTGCTCGCTTCCAACAGCCACCCGCTGGCTCCAATCCAGGGAAACGCATCTGTCCTGCACCGACCGCCTCGTTTCACCGCGTTTTCTGCTAACCAAGCCAGCAGCCCAAAACGAGATTTACTCCTGTACACATGAGGGCTTGCTCTGAAAAATAAACTCGGATTACCGCTCCCCATCTACCTAATCCCGGCAGCGCTCATCGTGGCGCGGCGTACCGGGAAGCGCATGAGCTCCAGGGCGCTGCATATCTCCCCCACCCACCGGCAGCGAGCTTTTTTTTTTTTTTTTTGTGAAAAGCCCAAGTCCCTGCAGTGCCGTTCCCACCGCCCCCCAGGCGGCTCATCCCGCGCCCCGCACGGCGGCGGCCCCGCTCCTACCTCCGCCGGGTCTCCTCCCCTCGGCTCCCGCGCCGCAAAATGGCGGCTCCCGCCCGGCGCCGCCCCGCGCCCGCACGCCCGCCCGCTCCCTCAGCCCCGCTCCCGCCCGAGGCGTTCCGCGGCCGGGGAACCGGCACCTCTCCTGCTCTGCGTCCCGGTCGGCGGCCCTCGCCATGACAGAGGTACCGTGGCGGCCCCGGGTGTCGCTGCTGGGTGGTTGGAGCAGGACAAAGAGCGATCCAACAGCCCATAACCCCCGGAGCCGCCACCGGCTCCCTGAGCGCTCCGCTCGCGGCGGGGCCGCTGCGCCCCAGGGGCGTTGGAGGGACCCCAGAGCCGGTGGTCTGGGCTTCTTAAAAAGGCGAATTTTGCTCATTGCACATATTTTGCCTTCTGACAGAGATCGGGAAAACTGAGCGTGCTGTATGTTGTTAAGTACGCTTTTCCTCAGTGTATTTTGCGGATCCTATTGGAGCGTCTCCCAACCCCTCCTGTAGTGGCTGGGGGTTCTAGGGGGGTTGGGGTTGGTTTGGTTTAATTTGGGGGCATTTGGTATCCCCCACCGCCTGCACAGCTGATCTGCAGAACTCAGGTTTCTGCCTCTTCTTCCCCTTCTCCCAACTGCAGCAGGAGAAAGCAGAGTGGGAAAATTTAAACAAGCTATTAATGCGTCATGGGTTGAAACCGGTGAGTCTTGCTGCCCCCCAATGCTGCAGAAATACGACAGGTAAGGACATGCTAATTTAACTGCTTTTTGTATTTTAGTAAGTCTAAATTCATAAGGCATCTCTAAAGCTGTCACTTCCAAATGGCAGCAGACATGCAGTCTTCTCCTTAAAAAAAGGAGAAGCCTTTCACTGTGACTTTGTTTATGTTTTGTATCTCCAGATATGATTGTCCTAGATAGTCAGTCTTCTCTAGAAATAAGACTTGCATTAAAAACGCTGGTGGAAGACATTGAGCGACAGCAGAAGTTGATGCAAGGACTTATGGAGACAAATCGATGTCTTAGGTAAGACACAGTGGAAGGAACTTACCTGCTAATGCAAAGTGAAAGTATTATCAATGTGCATCTCCTGCCCAGTGGAGATCTAGTCTCACCAGAGGCCTAAGACTTTTTTCCTGACATTATTGCCCAATGTGCAGCAATGTTGGTCTAGTTCCTTTTGAGCTCTTCTGTTATTTCATCTGCTGCTTCTTCCTATACCTGCATATTTCCCATATCTGCTGCCACAGGATATTATCAAATGATAATAGGTGTGTCAGGTGTGTGCTTCCTGCATTGTCTTTAGTGAAATGAGTTTAATTTAAATGAAGGATTTATTTATTTTTTTTCAGAGACGTGGTGCGACAGGAGCAAGGTCGGGCATCTCGACAAGAGCAACGGGCTAATGATTTGGAAAATGTGGTGAAAAACATTAAGGCCAAAATTCGTCAGCTGGAAGATGAAACGATAGCTAAAGCTTGCCAGCAACAGAACCAAGTCAGAGAACTTCAAAAAGACCAACAGGCTTCCCAGGTAGTTTGGATAGTGCTGCCTGAGGATTCAAACTTTCGTCTTTTTTTAAAAGATCTAAAAATATTTACATTGATCAAAATTTACATGAGTCTTGGGTCATGGAGTTAGTACACTGTCTAGAGCAAAGATTTTTTGAGCTGTGCAAAATTTTCTATCAATAACTTAGAAAAATATCTGTGTCCTTCTTCCACTGTCTCTTCAGTATGGCTAAAACCCAAAGACTAATCCTCCTTGGGACCAAGTGTGTAGCTGGGTATGTACAGAACAGTCAGCTGGGAGGTCAGAACAATTTAATAATGCTCCCATTACCTATTCCCAGGTAAAATACCAACAGCAGCAGGAAAAGCTGCAAGAACAGGAAGAGGTTATTGCCCGTTTGCAGAAGGAGCTGAGCAAGGTTGGGGTGGAGGAGCAGCACCGCGTTGCCACTCAAAACAAAATGTTTCGTCAGTTTTGCAAAAGAGCTCCCAAGTCTCTTCTAGATCAGAGGTAAGTGATCTTCTTATATTGGTGAACAACCTGTATCACTGAATGAAGAAACAGATCTTAAAGTAATGCTTCTCAATATTTATATGGAAAAAAAAAAAAAGCTGGAGACCTTAGGGGTGCAAGCTGAAATATGAATTCTTTTAAAGGTACATCAGTGCAGTGATATTTTTCTTTTGTAAAATTGTGAGACAGATAAATCCATGGCAGAAATTAAAAACTTACCAGCCACTGCCTACACTAGGTGTCAGCAAAGGGCAGGGAATGATTCACTCTTCTCTGGAACTGCAGTGTCTGCTAGGATGATCTCATCCTGGGATTCTAACATTTAAAAATGTAAATTTAAAAAAATGACAAACAAAAAAACCCAACAGACATGATCCTCAACACCACCACCACCCCTCCCCCCAAAAAAATAGCCCTTCCAGTTTTGGGAAGGGATCTTTGCAACTGCAGGCTTGCTGTGAGGCTTCAGAGTACTTTAGGGTAAGTTCTGAAAGTATCCCAAGGCTGAATCTTTTGCCAATAGGATTTCCATAGCTCTGCTATACTCAAGACATTTGCCAGTTTTTAGGCCTCAGTTAGCCATTGCTTTACTGTGCTGATGTCACCTGCTTTCTAGGCCTGGCCACAAATGTTTACTTGGGAAGCTTCTAAAAGAGATTGTGTGTGCACAGGCTTTCCCTCATGCCCTTGCTGTATGAGAGGAGGGATCACTGAGTTTGGTTCCCTGTGCTCTCTCATGTGTCTCTCCAAAACGCAACCTCAGAGTGCTCAAGCCACTTTATTTTGACTATGCCTCTCTGTTAAGCTTGCTGGGTAAGTTATAAGATGAGGAGACTGTTGGGCAGATTTAGGTTTTTTCCTCCTCTTGAATGATTTTGCCAGTTCTAGACTAGTACAGAGTTAGTATCTCTACTTTTCATTCCGTCATATTTTCTGTTTTGGCAAACCATGAAAGAAAACCCACTGTTTGGAGCAGCCACTTCTGAAGTGCAGTGCAGCTGTGTAAGCTCGCCTGTTCCTTTGGGTTGGTCACTATTTCTCAGGCATGAGTTTTTTGAGATTATCTGAAATTCAAAATGCCATTTTTCCTTTCTTCAGGTACCTTTGTCTAATTGATTATTATGAATCTCAAATTAGTCAGATTAAAAAGGAGCTGAGGTAGGTCTCATCTAATGCCTTATGGTACTACTGTTCAAAATTTATTTACCCCTTACTGTTCTTAAACCATATAGTGGTAAATATTCTGTGCTCCAGATCTCTCTAGAATGTAAGAAACACCAAAACGTTGTAATGATCATGGAAATTTGGATTCATCCAGGGAATAACTGTCAGTCCAGGCTAAGCAGCTCCTCAGTCAGGAGGCCAGGACAGCTGGGAAGTTTGGGATATTCAGACACTTGAGCTTTAAGTCTTTTTTTTCTTTTTTTTTTCTTTTTTTTTTTTTTTTTTTTTTTTCCTTTCCTCTTTTGCCAGAATTGCTGCATCAGCTGTGCTCAGTTGAATGATCTCCTAAAACTAAAGGAATACTGGGTTTTCAGATCTATCATGCTGCAAAGCAACAAGCAGATACCTGAGACATTCCTATAGTTTGAGTTTATTATCTTGAAAACTGAAATGGGATTTACTTGTACTGGAGTTTCTCTTGAGGATAAGTGCACTTGATTGGCATGTGAAGCAGCTTTCCCAGAAATTAGAGCAGTGGATCTTAGGGCAGAATTTCCAATTCTATTTACTTTTTAATTTTGAGAACATTATTATCATACATACAACCCTAACTAAACCAACTTAGATTTTTGAGTTAATTGAATTGTAAGCTCAAACAATATTTTTTTTCCCAATAGGCAATATAAAAAAGATGAAGACCGGGTACAGAGACAAGGAAAAAGCAAGGAAGACTTCTTAAATCTAGATGCTACTCCTAATTACAGAGCACTGCTCACGGTATGGAACTGCCAAATCTAAGTCAGTGCAGATCTCTAAATGGTAACCCTTCAAGAGCCACCTAGAAACATAAATATGTTTGATTTCTGTCCCTTGTCATGTCTTCTGAACTTGTAACCTCTCTGGGCAGGGTTCCCTGTCTTTACGCAAAGGTTCAGCACTGTGTTGTGAGTCTTTGCTGGGGACTGCATAGTCACAGTTCTCCACCTGTGGTCTAATGCAGCTCTTGGTCTTAGTCATTTATTCCTCATTCATGCTGTCTTGCTGTACAGGCAATTGTGAACTCTTCTTAACATGTAATATTTTAAATTGTTCAAGTTTGTTGATTAGGAAATGAGTGAAATAGAAGAAATAACCCAGTCTATGTTGCAGTCTTTCCAGAAGCAACTTATTGAAACAAAAGCCAGGAACGAAGAGCTTTTGCTTGAAAATACAAATCTCAAAAAAGATTTGGAAATAAGGTGAGAAAGGATAAGTATCATCCTTTGCAAGGCCATTTTGGTAGATTTTGCTTTACAAAGAAAGAAACCAAAAGTACCAGTGGTTGCACAAGTGTAGTATGAAATCTGCAATCAAAGAAATAAGATATGGCAGCAACAGCCAAACTCCCCTTCCTACACGGTTAAAAACAACTGCTAGTGGTTAGTTTGCTGTTAATTGCTGTTATCACATAGAAATGTAGCAGGATTTAATTTCCAGAATGTTTTGGCACTGGCAAAGCTTTCATATTTTTTTGCTTGGCTAAATTTTATAGATACCTCCCAATACAAGACATATAATACAGTGCTTTTTCTTTCTAACAGGCCAACTGCACAGGAATTAAAATTTCACAAGCACCAAGTGAAGAAACTAGAGAAAACTTTAAAGAAAATTATCCAGTAAGTATATTCCTTTAATAACTTCCATGAATCCTCTGGACTTCTGAAAGCAAAGTTACTTTGTAATGTAGATAGTGGCTTATACAGCATGTACCTTATCAGCATTCCTCAGAGCCTCGTTATGGGCAGCAAATGCTGCTGGATCTCCAAAGCCTTGTGTATCTCTGAAATGATGGCAGGGTCTCCAAATGGGGGCACAGCAGTGTGTCTTTTTTATTTCACTTTGTCTTTCTGAATTTGATTTGAGGGCTATTGCAGGCTATAAGGACAGGGCAGATCTGTGGTGTTTGCTGCTTCATGAGCTATAAAGCAAGCTCCTGGTTACATTATGGATTATGAATGTGAAGGTATGAGTTGGCAAAATGTTACAGCTACAGAAGTTATGTCCATATTATTCTTAGAAGTTGACTTCATTGTTTTCTGAAACATTACTAAGAAAATACATTGAAGGTATTAAAGATCTAGTGTAGGTGAAGTGTTTTTATCTGTAATTTCACTTAGTCATTTGTGCATGTGTATATGGAATGATAAACATAGCCTGAAAAAGACATCACTTAAACTTTAAAATAAATATACACATTGTGTATATTTAAATGGTCTTTTCTCTTGTGCAGTGGATATTAATTAGATGGTAATTTTAGAGAAAGTCATCTTAGATTTGATAAGAGGGATGTCGAGCTGTGTGTAGTTAGCTAGGAAAGATATTCCAGCAGAACCAGATAAAGACTGAGCTTGGAATTTGACCCTTTTCAGTAAAACTCTGGATTTTAAAGTCTTCAGCCACAGTAGAACCTCTGGTAACAGAATAACAGTGTGTCTGGTGGTGTCCCTTCTAAATCAGAGTAGTCTGGAATAACCTCAGCCTGGAGGCTTGAGATAAATCAGTGATATTTACTTTAGGTATTGTGTTGTCAGTCTGTACTAGTTCAGTCTGATGGAATTCTATTGGCCAACAGCATAACATGGGGATTTTATTTTGTAGGTGCTACATACCTGGTTCTTTTATCAGGTTGAAAGTAGTATCTCCTGCTAAGGCTGTTTGTGTAACCAACTGTGTGTATTTTTGTGCAGATCTTTGGGCAGTAGGACTGGAGAAAGAGAAGAAAAGAAAGAATCTGGGAGCACTGCAGAAGTGGATCAGCTGCAGGCAGCTTGCCGGCATTACTTACAGGTACACAAATTTTATCTGTGCTGTGTGTATCTAGCACTGTTACAATGCAATACTATACATGTTTTGTTTAAACACCTAAACTGGTGGGTGCTGGTTTGAGTCTAAGAGTTCCTACCAAGTCCTCTGTGCAAGATGAGTAATGTCCTGGATTTGACAGTTAATGTAGGCTAGTTCTCAATTGTTTTATCTCTGAAACATATAGAAAGGAAGAAGACACTAGGCTGGCAAATATCAAATCCATGATTTAGCTGAAGTCTTTTCAGGACAGGGGATTTGTTCAAGGTCTTGGGCAAAACAGAGCCTTAGGTTACAGTATTAAACATGCCTGTGGAGATAGTGGCTTTTGTTTTTCTTCAAATTAAAAAGCCCTAATATAATAAAACTTAGCAAAATGCAAACTGTGGAAGTAACAATACCTTGAGTATATTAAGTATCCCTCAAAGGGAATTATATTTGCATTACTTTTACATATCTTCTAGCTAGTATGTTTAAATCTTTGAATCTATTACATATTGAATGCTTGTGTAAAATTCATCGATAGTAACATTGGATTAATAGTAATATTGGAGCTATTTGTGATTTAATGTTTAGACAATCAAGACTGTGAAAGAGAGGAATTTTATTACAAAATGTCATACATATTTGAGCAATAACACTTGTTCTTTGTTTTTGAAGGTTTTGTCCCATATTGATTCTATTTTGCGAAGTCCAAGAGCTCCCCCATTAATATACCGGCGCAGCAAAGGGCCAGTGCAAAATTATACTAAAGAGAGTGGACAGGAATGTGGATTTGAGCACCTTCCCCTCACCATAGAAATGTGGGCAGATCAGCTGATGGCCCTAAAGGTAACAACACGTTATTGTACTTGGCCTTATAGTCTTTTCATGGGCTGACCCCTCCTTGGTCTCTCCCTGTACGTAGTTGTGTGGGTTTTTTGTGTGTAGCTTTTGTTATTGCCTGATTGGGTGTTAAATGTTAAAAGTAATTCTGCTGTCCATGTGAAACACATAACAGAGATACTCCTCTTTGTATATCATTTAAGTATTTTTGTTCACTGGCTGAGTCCATAAAAAGACAATTAAGCTTTAGAGTCTGGACTTCACACATTAATGACGGTGCATTCTCTTTCTTCCTTTTGTCTGGCCAGAACAGTAACTTTTTGATCCAAATACAAGTGAAATAGTTCTGTTTGAAAACAAACTCTCTGTGATCAAAACTTCTTAATTCACTGAAACTGTAAAACAGCAAATATAGTATTTTAGACTATAACTGTTGTTTTCAAATCAAAGAATGTCAGCAAGATACTGTGCTTAAATTCCATGAAAGCTAAAACCTTACCATCTCCAACACTGGAATGTTTCTGCATATGAGAAACAGCAAGTCTGCCTGTTTCTGTAATAAAAACAACTTTAAGCAGTTTCTAAAATAATTTGTGTCCCCTCCCTTCCTTTAAAAGGATTTGCATAGGTCCTTGAGAAAACTGTCTCTGGAACTCATGCCCTGGCATACTGCAGATCCACAGGATAACAGAGAATCCATACGAGTTGAAGATCTCCAGTTCATAGTAGATGCAATTTTGGAAGAAATAGAAAATAAGGAAAAGGTATTTCTCGCCAGGGGTTCATAATCACAAGTTACATTCTTAAGTGCATTCTTCACACGGTGATTAGATCGGTGCATTTGAAAGCCTTGTGGGGTTTAAGAAATATCTGTTTGAAGACATGTAATAGTCAAAGACTGTTTTAGTATAATGGATAAATTCACCTTGGAGAAGGCTGCTTTGATCAAAGGCACTTGACCAGCAATGAATTTGCATTGCCTTGTAGTCTCAGGAATGATCCTGTTCTGTTTCTCAGTCAGTGCTGAGAATACATAAATGTACTTCTCAGCAACAGAGAAGAAAGCTTTTGAAAGAGTATTTTGGATTTAGTATATATTTGTGCCTGAAAAGTACTGAAAATATGTCTTCAGATTTAAAAATACTTGAAAGGCTGAGATTTAATAAGGGCAGTACACTAATGTTTCTTCAGACTGTTTTTAGGAGTGTTTCACAGTTTGAAAGTGTCCTTGCCTTGTTAAGCAGTAACAGTGATGAGTTCTTCCTGCTTGTTACAGAACAGCCAGACACGGTCCTTGCAGACCCTGTCTGCCATAGTCTCCCACTTCCAGAAGTTGTTTGATGTGAATTCTCTGAATGGTGTTTATCCACGAATGAATGAGGTTTACACAAAGCTTGGGGAAATGACCAACGCTATGAGGAATCTCCATGAGCTCCTGGAACTAGGTAAAGACTGACCACTGCAGTTTGTTCAGACCATTCCAAAGGAAGATGAAAATAAGTGAGAAAGCTGATCTCTTCATAGAAAATAATATTGAGCTGTTGAGAAACGAGTAAACCAGGTGTTTTCTTCACTGGGAAGATAAAAATAGGCTCCTGACAATTTACAGTTTAAATAGCAAATTCCCATTATTTGTAAGCCTTTAGCAGTTGCTGAAGAATAACAGGGAGGCAGAAAAGAATAACAGAGGAAATGGAATTTTTATTTTTCCCACAAAGCTTTGTTTTCTGTGAGCTGACTTCATAATTGTCTTTCATTCTCTACTAGAAAGATAACCTCTGCTGTAGATTTCTACTCAGTAATTCATTCAAATGTAATTGTGTGCAATCCTCAGAAACTTCCATCTTATGCTGCTAAACTTAAAAACCAAAAGAAGTTGTTGAATGTCAAAACCTGTCAGAACTCAGAGGTGTACTTAGTTACTTCTCTTCTAGTTTGTACTTCTGAAGAACAGGAGTTGCTGCTGCTCCTGGGTTTGAAGGATTGGCTGGGCTGTCGGATGTCCAGCCCCAGAGCAAGGCTCCTGGGCTGCTGAGCCTTACTCAAGGAAAGAAGGAGTCTTCCTGCCTGCAGCCAGCATGGGAGATGAGGAAGCCTCATGTCCCTCTAGTAACTGCAGCTTAGAAGATGCCTTCTCCAAGCCTAGTTCTTCTGAAATTGAGGGAGAAAAGGACAAGAAGCCTGTTATCTTCAGTCACAGTAGTCAAAACAGTTAAAATCCAATACCAAAACAAGTTCTGGGTGTTAACAAAATATTTATTAAGCAGGTTCCCTGTTGGCATAGGCCCTATAATGTGCCTGGTGTGTCACAGGAACCCTCTCTCTATATATGTAATTTTAGTTGGCTGATTTCCACTGAAATTGTAGGGTGCACTTTAGTACCACTTCTGCTGTGAACATTCACAGCTCTGCCAATTTTTTTTTAGCCACTGAAAGATTAGTGAGAGATTCCCCATTCCTAGTTAACATTTGTTTATTTCTGACCGTGAGCACTTTGTTTTCTATGAACGATGGAATGTGTATGCCTAGATCTATGAAAAACAAATAAAATCTGGCCACCTGCAAGAATTCAACTGTGTCTAAAATACTTCCCTGTTATTACTGTTACAAGAAACATGAAGTGTTTCTTTTTCCACAGACAGTTCAGCTCCGCCCACTGTGGTAGTGGATACTGTTGGGAAACTATGTGACATCGTTAATAAGAATGTGACTGAGCAGGTACAGCAGCTTCTGGGGACTCAGGACATCCACAGGTATGTGGGGGCTGTTCCATTGGTGACCATTCCTCAAACATCAGATGTAGTAATTGAGAAAAATGGCTAAACTGATGCTGAAAGAAACCAATCATTTGTTATAAAGTCAGTGAACTGCGACAGCAGAGGTGTTACTATGATCCTACTTGAAACAACTCTGGAATCCTTTCATCAAAAGGATAAAGCTGGAAGAGAAGAATTGAGGCCAGAAGGTTCCAAAACACCCCGTGGTTTGCATGGATAAGGTGATCAAAGAAGCCTTAATGGGATGTGTGTTTCATCAGGAGACAAATCCTGCACGTGGGTGGGGAAGAGAAAGTGTTGCAAGTTTAAGCTGTAATACTGAAGTGTATGAGTTGCTAAGGCAGTGTATGCCTCAAGCTGCCTACCTGTTCCATCTTCAGCAGATGACAGCCACATCTAGGTGGTAGCAGACTGTAAGAGCTTGTGTTCAGCCTATGCTCTACAAACCAACTAAAAATGGGAGCAGGCAACAAGTCTGACACATGCTGAGTTAACAATACTCAGCCCTTCTGTGCTCACTCCTCACAATTTTAACTAAAGAACAGCTGCTTATAAAGCATTTCTAGCCCTACCTCCAAGGTAGTTATATCAGCAACCCCCAGGCAGTATATTTAGCATATATAGACTAATGTTCCAGTCCATAGACAACCTGATGCCATGTGAGGAGGAAAGGAAGGACGTATGTAGGGCATAAATAGTGAAATCAGAGATCCCTGTGACAGCTACCTCTTGGTGGCTGCAGGTTTCAGGACTGGAGAACAGAGTTTTGGTGTCAATGGTTTTATATACGAAGTAGCTGTGTTTCTACAAAGTCATGACAGAATGACAGAACAGCCAAGGAGGTGAACTTGCAATGTCCTTGCAGCCCCTGTCTGACAGTCTCACTTGCACATTTCAGTATCATCAATAAACTAGAGGAACATGAGCACTTCTTTCCACCATTTCAAGCTCTCATCCAAGATTTGCTCTGTCTTCTAGGTAAGTAATATTTGCAACAGTTGGAATTATCTTCATGCAAATGTTTCCTCATAGAACTTTAAATAACTAACAAGTGTTTTGTTTACTCCTGGCATGCTAAAACACAAGAAGCATGTGAGGGATAGTGCTACCTTTTGTCTCCCTCTTCTTTCCATCTTTCCTCTTGAAGTGACCAAAATACTTTATTTTCATTGAACAATGCATATACTCAATCATATTACTCATAAGCCCAAATGATTTTTTCCCAAAAGCATTAAAAGGTGTGAGGAGTTTATTTTATTCACTGTCTGTTTTTCTAACAGTTAAGTTAGAATTTTGGCTGAGCTTGAAGGTGTTCTGGGTACATAGGCCTTACCATTTTGCTTTCCATTCTGTTGCAGAGATCAGTAACCTGGATGATATTTTGCCTGTGGTGCGAAACCTGAAATGGAGAGCTGGTAAAGAGTGACTCTGCTCTTCTTGAGCAAGATTTATCTTACCTGTGAACACACCTGTCGATGTATATGAATTACAGCTACCTCTACTGTTACCATAAGCAACAATTCCAGATTTTATATAAATAAAAGTTGCTGCATTTTTTTAAATTTTTCTTAATTCTTGGTCAATTTAAGAAAAATTTTCATTATAACTGCTACTGACTGGTCTTCTCAATCTCAGAGAGAGATACGCTCTGCATCAGTCCAGGAAACTGAACCCAGCACACGACCAGGCACATTATAACCACGAGCATTTTGAATGTTACTGACACATTCAGTATGAGATAAAGGTGCTCTAACTGCCTCAGCCATCACACTTTCAGCATTTGCCTATCTTGGTTTTCTGGAGAGCCCGTTTTAAAATGTTTACATTTTCGGCTCAGTTTGGGATGTGACCACATTGTTACTCAGTGAGTATTCTCTCATGTTATGGACTGAAGCAGACTGGATTAATGCAATCTAGGCCAAAAATATTGGAAATTTGCTTCAAATGATGGTTAGAAGTTACCATGGTCATATTCCAAAAGTCAGTTTCAGAAAGGAACAGATCAAGTTTCTTACGCAAGACAGAAGTTTATTGTACAGAAACAAGTACACCAAGCTTCCAAAAATATTTTGCCTCAATATTAAAGCTTAGTTTACAAAACTCTGCTGTTCCTCAGGCATAATCTGGGTTTACAAGATTTTGAAATGTACTGTAACAAAGGACAAAACCTATTAAGGTGTCACAAACTAAAACCTTAATGACATCTGGGTAACTAAGCTCCCTGCTTTTGGAAGCTCATTATTTACATACCTGCAGCCACAGTCTGCAAAGGTACTTCTGAGCAGTGGAATACCAATTTCTTAGTTTCTCAAAAAATAAATGCTATTAAAGTTTAATGGGTTCTGTAGCCCTACAGCTGAAGAATGCTGCTTCAGAAAAGTACAACACTTTCATGTTAAAACAACATGAACAAGATCCTGGGGACATGAGACTGCCAAGCAAGATAATGACACTTGGCTGACAATCTAAAATATCCCCAGGTACACTTCCTTAAGAGAGGATTCAAACTTACAAGTCCTTTGGGGATGATTTGCCAGAAATGGCAAAAATAAAAGATTTATTCTCTAAGGACAAATTATTCCCTATGGGGGGGGAAATATGTTTATTTTTTAACTTCAGTGAGAACTAATCTCCAAATGGGATCATTAAATTTACATGTCCTGAGCTAAAGACTGCTTCAAATTTGCAATGAGTGTGCAAAACACATTAATTACAAGAGATATATACATTTATATAAAGTCGAAAAATTAGTGCCTTATGTACATGAGAAGAAATCAAATTCTCCTGCGTCTACTCCTTGTCAACTCATACCTGCAAGACAGACACAGTAAGTAATTACAGTAGTTTAAGACTTTCTTTACAGTTTTAACTGCCACAATAGAGAGGACTCGGGCTGCTTTATTGCTTGGCCTTCACAGGGAGCCTGACAAAGGAGGCTCCACAGGTGGCCTCAGACTTCAGCTCTTCACCAGGAACTTCGGGTGTGTTGTTTTTCCCTCCTCCCATAATTGCCCTGAGACACACACACACACACACACACACACAAGCTGGGCCAGGGAAACATGGTTTTCCTATCTGGAATATTGGCTCACTGCCTGTGCAGATGGCAAGCTCCCGGACTACCCACACTGCATTCCTTGGGCTCCATTGAAGGAGAAAGAAGGAAGAACTACTGCCATTAGCTACAGACGTAGAAGTGGAAAAAAACACCCAAGCCGGGTTCTCAGTCTCTGCCTCAGACCAATGAACACACAAACCTCAGAACCACAATGAACATACAGGCAGAACTGTAAGTGGCTTATTATAATAGTTTCTATAAATGCTTTGTAATTAAAGTTTTATCATATATATATATATTGCTGATCAGAATATTTAGTTAAGATCTTTATCCAAGTTAAAATTTGTTGCAAAGTTGCTTTAATAAACATAATTCTTTTACTTATGTGTCCCCATGGCTTTTATGGTAACATAAAATATGCTGAAGACTATAATTGGCACACAGGCATCTCATTAAAGTTGTCTCACAGGGCAGGCACCGCACAGCCCATGGATTAACACACAATTTAGATAAAACTACCAGATTAGTTCAAGTTAGTCCTGCGTTTGCAGGTCAGATATTCTTCTTGCTCACCCAAACACAGCCCAGTCACCAGAACTTCAACAACAGTCATGCAAACTCCCAACAAAGCAATGGGCAGGTTTTGGAAGTATGGAGATGGTACTTACCATTGTGCAAAACCTTTTATTAAGTCCTCCTGGGACAGGTCGATCCGCACCTTTAAAAAGCCAATTTTATTTGTTTGTATATTATTCAGCATACAAATTGATTAGCTACGCTAGCACTCCTCCCAAGTCAGACCCACTTTCTAGTTCTAGGGCTGCATCTCAGGCCCAAGTGAAAAGGAGCCTCCACATGGTACAGCCTGATTTCAGATGAAAATCTGGCAGATGTTGTTTCCAGATTGCCAGCGAGCTGCATTTCAGGATTACAGGAATGGCCCAGACTGTTCAGCTCTGTTACATCTGTAGTGCGGATTCTTTAAACTTACTTTCCCCAGCTCCTTCCTTTCCTGTGAAATGAACGGCCTGCTGTTTTTCACTGCAATGTCCAGTGTCCTTTTCTTGACATTTTCCAAAGATTCAAAAAATTCAAACCTAAATGTAAAGTTTAGAAAGGAGAGACATAAGTCCTATCTTAAAATCCTGTAAGCATCAGTGGCCAGATTGCAGTGACAGAGTACAACATCAGTAGCCAAGACTTTAACAGGAAAAGAAGGTACAGAAAAGGCAAATCTATAGTTAGATTTCATTCACATTGCAAGAAACCTCTTCCAGGCCTCATGAAAGACTATTACACTGTGTTCAGACTGTTCACTGTGCTGGGGGAAGGAGGAAAACATGCATCCATGATGAAATGCCATGTACCATCTTTTTTCCTCTCCATGGGAAGACCAGCGTGTTTGCCATTCAACCTTCATTACTCAGAGGAAACAGCTGAGCCAAACCCCCAATTTCACAGAATAGCCTTGCACTGAAGAGCAAAGGCTGAAACTTGTGGCAATTAAATTCTTAATGGCTCTGACTCAAGCCTCTGGCACACATCACTAATGTCAAGTGAGTTTTGTCCATGCTAAATCAGTTCTGCCCACCTGAATAGCTTTTCTTCAAGTCAGAGCTGTAAAACAGGTAATGTGTTTTGGAGCTAAGCATTGCCCAACTTATTATCCTTAATTAAGGATGTACAGGATACGTCAATACTGAGGATGAGGAAAACGAGATGATGTTCCCAACAGCTGGGCTGGCACTGAATCAGTGGAGCTACTTGGGAATACACAGAAAAATCCACAGCTCCAGTGTTTTGAGTGCTAAGATGAAATATTTTAAAATCCTTTCTCCATTTCTGACTTACAGAAAGGACACAACACAGGAAAAATCTAAACCAACCAGGATCACCCAATATTCACGTATTTTCCCATATGTGTACCTTCCTCTAATTATGGGACTAAGACCACCTCTCAAAACAGCTCTTCCTCTAAGCATTACTGCGTTTGGGTTTATACAAAACACATTCCATTTCAGTGGTAGAGCTGTGCATGTGACACTGTCACCAAAGGGGTGGGAACATTTTACCCTGTACCACCAGGTACTGATGACAACATCCATCTGTCTGCCCAAAGAATGGTCCAGTCTCTAAAGGCTCTGTACTTCTGCCTTGGACTTTTGGAAAGGTGTCCAAACAAGCATCAGGCAAAGCAGTATAAACAGAGAAGTAGGCTCTGTGAGGCATTTGAATGAAAATATTGCCTTTGCCATGACAGGGAGTTAAACATGGGTAGGGGAATGTCTGTTTGCAAGGAAGCAAGTGCAGCCTGCACCCGCTGGAAGGGGCAGGGAAGAAGGTGTGCCCTGCTACAGAGGGACAGACAACACCACAGGCAGAGCAAGCCCCAAGTACTTGGAAACCACAATTAAAGTGCCATTTGTTTCAGAAGACCTGCAAACGTTCACAAGACAATCCTTAGGACCAACAGCAGCACACCTTAGGAAGCCCTTTCGTTACACAGACATCATAACTATTTCAGCCACAATCTTAATTAACATTTTCTTACTTCTCATCGTATTGAGGGTTCAATGTTTTCTTCTTAACAGAAGTCTTCTTCCTGCTTGTCCACCTTCTATCTGGAAGCAGGTATATACGAACATATGGATCCACTCCACGACTGGAAGAGGGTACTAAGTTTCTGTTAAAAGAAATACAGACAAGCAAGGCAGGTTCTCCCAGTGTATGTTTTAATAACTTGACTCTCTTGGAATCAAACCAAACCTTCATGGGCCAAAAATATTAATCCTGGGAGTTGGAACTAAAACTTTAAGAACATTTATTTAAACAGAATTTTCACTACCGAGTGTGTGGCCACTTATCAGGGTTCCTAAATTAACAATTACAAATTCAGTCATAGGGATCAATCCTTGCCATGATGCCTATCACGAGACCCCAAGACACACATCAGTTGTCAGTGCTGTTCAGAGGAAGTTTTGGGTGGATGACAGTTGAAGTATCTCTACTGCAATGGGCCCTACTCGCCGGCCTCTCTCCCTGACCTGCTGCTGGCACTGACCAGAGCTGGGCCTAGTGAGGCTGCACAGGTTGAGGCCAGCCAGTGCTAAGACATCTCCTGCTGCACTGGTTCTACTCCAGCTTTGCTGAATGACTGACACAAGCCCAGAGAGCTCTGCCCCTCTCTTTCGGTGACTGTCAGTGTTACCTGCAGCCGTTCACCAGCACGACGAGGCTCTGCCGTATGGAAGCATAACGGACTGTCAGCTGGATCTCCCCCAGAGGCATTTCGGTACCACTGCAAGACATTGGCACAGTCAAAGCCTTTCAATACAGCCATTGAACAGACCAAATGCAGACTAAAACCAACTTTCAGGGCACTATTCTTCTCCCTGGCATCCTAATGTTTGCTTTCTAGGAAGCAGCTGGACCACAGAGGTTCCACAGAATCAACATTCCCGTTAGCACCGTCCCTGCCTTCTCTGCACGAACTTGATTTCAGTC